ATACACAGACATGTGTGTGTGTGTGTGTATATATATATATATATATATATATATATATATATATATATATATATATACACATACATATATATATATATATTTACATATATAATATATATATATATATTTACTAATTAAAACTAAAATGAATTTAAAAATAAAATAAGTGTATCCATTTGCTGTAACCAAAAACCCCCATAATATATATAGAAACAATGCATCAATATAAACAAACGCATGCTGCAGGATAGGGAGCAGTGTTCAGATACATTATTCACAGCATCCCCGGACAACCCCTACCTCTAGTAGCATGCTGCCTGCACCCCCTCATACCAGCCAACCCCAGCCAGGGACCCCAAAGCTCCCATCAGTCTTTTGTCTCCAATACAAAAACCTACAGGACAGATTCCTGCCCACCATCCACCCCCCCCCCCCCCCATCCACTATGGATAAATAAAATGCACATATTAATTATTATATTATTATACAGGATTTATATAGCGCCAAGTTTGCTCAGTGCTTTACAATATAAGTTAATATTAAATATTAATGTAAACAAGCTACTACCCCCCCCCCCCAATATATAAAAATGCACAAACACAAACAAAAATCAGACTAGCAACATGCACAAAGCTGCTGCTGCACCCCCACACATGGTGCAGGATGGAGAGCAGACCGTGTACAATCAGATACATTATACACAGGATCCTGGATAACCCCCTTCACTACATATATATATATTTTTTTTTTTTTATTATTGTGTATACACATAAAAATGCAACAATTTACACACATATATTAGATATATATCCAAGATACACACATATATTAGACAGATATACACAAAGTATAAATGTAAACAAACTAAATTTTGAGCAGCTGCAGGATGGAGGGCAGATGATGTACAATGGAGATTATTCATTGCGCGCCGCCTGCAACCCCTCATACCTGCCAACCTCAGCCAGGGACTTCAAAATCCCCATCACTGTCATCCCCAACACAAGGAGATCTACTACAAAGCTGCACCCCCATATATATATACATATACACACACACACATATACATATATAGATACATTGTTGGTGTCTATATGAGTGTGTGTGTGTGTATATATATATATATATCTATAGATATATACACACACACACACATATATATATATATATATATATATATATATATATAGACACCAACAATGTATCAATGAACACCCTGTACATATCTGCAGGAAGAAGAGCGGACAGCATACAGTCAGGATACATTGTTCACAGGATCCCTGGCACTAACACACCACCTGCACCCCCGTCTCCCCAATACCAGCCTAGGACCCCAGGATGAAGAATACCCCCCCCCCCCCAAATACGAGAGACTTAAGAAGTCCATAGCAGCTGCGCTTTGCATCCACTTTCCAGCTTTCATTTTTGAAGTCTAAACAATCGGAAGATCAAATCTGATTGGCTGCTCCAAATTTTTGTAAGACTGGAGGTGAAGTTTGGATTGGCAGATCAAAAATGAGTAAGATTTTCATCTAAGGTATCCTCCCCGTGCAGACACAGATCGATCTCTATATACAGATATATACACACACACAGATATATCAATCTCCCCCTCGGTATATTCAGGCCCCTGTGATCTGCGGGCCCATCTTTCCATTGTGGGGCCCCCAGTGCCAATCCTCCCTGTGCATGGCAGCCAATCACCTTCCATTTTTAAAGCATAGCAAGGACAGAATCTGATTGGCTGCTTCAGATAATGGTAAATTCCCTCCAATACTGGGAGCAGCTGTGTGTGGCAGCCAATCATCTTACAGCTTACTTTTATTTTTTTTTTTTAAATCAGGACTTAGGAACCTGAAGACAGAATCTGATTGGCTGCTTCAGATATGGTAAATTCCCTCCAAGACACCCCACCCCACCCCCAATACTGTATTCAGATCCCCCAGTGATCTAAAGGCCCTTCCATGGGGCCCTGTTTTCCCATTGTGTGCCCCCCCCCCCCATATCCCAGTTCAGGGAGCAGCTGTGCGTGGCAGCCAATCATCTTCCAGCTTACTTTTATTTATTTTTTTTTAAATCAGGACTTAAGAACCTGAAGACAGAATCTGATTGGCTGCTCCAGATTTGGTCAACTTGAGGGCAGAAGCTGACTGGCTGCTCCAGGTCTCCCGGTCCCCCCCCCCCCACACCAGTCTGTGTTCAGGCCTCCTCGGGCCCCTCTTCCCATTGTAGGGACCCCAGTGCGGTGTACAGGTCCCCCCCATCGGCCCTCCCCCGCCCCCTACTGCCATCTGTGCGCGCGCCGATGAGGCTCCCCAGGCCGCCGCGCCCCGTACGGCGGAACATAGCGCCCCCTCCACGCCACACACACACACACCTATCCACTGTGCGGCACCGAGAGGCCGGAGATGTCTCCCACCCTCCCGGCCGGGTCTCCGCCTCCTCCTGGTCTCCACACTAACGCGACTCAGCCTGCCGCGCCGATACCGCCAGAAAAGAGCCAGAGCGCCGCCGGAAGTCGCTGCACCGGATGTGCCGCGCATCACGTGCCCCTACTCCCCGCCCCCCCGCAGCCCTTTCTCCTAGCTCCTTGTCCAACCAGCGCCACGCTCCCCTCAGCCACGGCCCCGCCTCCCCCTTCATCTACGGCCCCGCCCCCTCCTGTGAGCGGCGCTCTTCTCGTCTTCGGTCCCGCCCTCCGTTCCCCGGCCCCTCCTCCTCCTCCCCCTCACGCTGTAGAACATTCTATTCCTTCTCCCGCCATTTCTGTTATGGGGAGGCTGTGAGGGGAGAGAATCCCGCTCCTCTGTGAGGAAATCTGCTCCATTCTCCTCTATGGAGGCGCACACCGAGCCCTCTGTCGGGGTTTGGGGGAGAAGTCTTCCACATGACAGGCACCGACCACAATCTATATTAATTCCATACAATACAATAACAACATGGCTGCTGTGCTGATAACAATGGTGGAAAGTGATAGAAACAACATAAGAGTATCAGAGTCCAATAAAAGGCCTCATTTCTCAGTTTGGTAACCCATAGCAACTACAGTTTGATGCATGGTTGCTATGGGTTACTGTGCTCAATCCAAAATCACTGCTGAACCCTTTGTTCCTGAGTATGGTAACCCATAGCAACCAGAATTCACCGCTGTGTCCCCTATGGAGGTATAAGTGCTGCATACAATCGCTGACCGTCTCAATAACGATGGTAACAATGGTGGGAAGCGATATAAGTGATACCAGAGCGTCACAATCCCCATAAAGGGCCCCTTGTTCCTCCGCATGGTAACCCATAGCAATCAGTGGGTTGCTATGGATACCGTGCTTTATCCAAATTCACTGATAAACCCTTTGTTCCCCAGTGCGGTAACCCATAGCAACCAAAATTACTCGCTGTGTCCCATATGGAGGGAAAAGTGCTGAATACAATCACTGACCGGATCAATAATGATGGTAACAATGGTGGAAACCAATAGAAACAATATGAGAGCATCACAGGCCAATAAAGGGCCCTCATTTCTCAGCTTGGTAACCCATAGCAACCACAGCGCGCTGTTTGGTTGCTATGGGTTACCGTGCTTAAACCAAATTCACAGGAACCCTTTGTTCCTCAGTACGGTAACCCATAGTAACCAGAATTTACAGCTGTGTCCTGTATGGAGGGAAATAAATACAATCACTGACCGTATCAATAAAGATGGTGACAATATGGCTGCTGTGATGATAATAATGGTGGAAAGTGATATAAATGATACATCTTTATTCTCTCCCTCTCCTCCGGCACTTTCCCCCTCCCCTCTGAAACATGCACACATCACCCCCATACTTAAAAAGCTCTCCCTGGACCCCAATGACCCGAACAACCTCAGACCCATCTCCCTGCTCCCATTTACATCTAAACTCCTCGAGCGCCTCGTCTACACCCCGCCTATGATCTCACCTCAACGACAACAACCTCCTCGATCCCCTACAGTCCGGCTTCCGTCCCCTCCACTCCACCGAAACCGCCCTACACTCCACCGAAACTGCCTTACTCAAACTCTCCAACGACCTGCTAACCGCCAAAACTAACGGCCACTATTCAGTGCTCCTACTCCTCGACCTCTCTGCGGCCTTCGACACAGTCCACCACCCCCTCCTCCTCAAAAAACTACACTCCCTCGGCCTCAGAGATTCTGCTCCCTCCTGGCTCTCATCCTACCTGTCACAACGCTCCTTCAGTGTTACCTATAATGCTACCACCTCCCCCTCACTCCCCCTCTCTGTTGGGGTCCCTCAAGGCTCTGTCCTCGGGCCCCTTCTCTTCTCCACCTACACCTCCTCCCTTGGCCAACTCATACACTCTCACGGCTTCAACTATCACCTCTATGCCGACGACACACAAAACTATCTCTCAACCCCCCACCTCACCCCCTCAGTCTCCGCCCGAATCACACACCTACTGAGCGACATATCAGACTGGATGTCGCTCCACTTCCTTAAACTGAACCTCTCCAAAACCGAGTTTCTTGTCTTCCCCCCCAGCTCAGACCCCCCCCCCCATTGACTTCTTCATCACATCCAACAACGCCACCATCAAACCCGCCCCGCAGGCCAGAGTACTTGGTGTCATTCTGGACTCCAACCTATCCTTCCAGCCCCAAGTCCAATCTTTAACAAACTCGTGCCGCCTCCACCTCCGCAACATGCAGACTCCACCTCCACAACATGCAGACTCCACCTCCACAACATGCAGACTCCACCTCCGCAACATGCAGACTCCACCTCCGCAACATGCAGACTCCACCTCCGCAACATGCAGACTCCACCTCCGCAACATCATCAAAATCCGCACGTTCCTAACCCCAGAAACCACTAAACAGCTCATCCACTCCCTCATCATATCACGACTCGACTACTGCAAATCCCTCCTCACTGGCCTGCCTCGCCGCTGGCTATCCCCGCTTCAGTCCATCCTGAATACGGCAGCCAGACTCATCCACCTTTCCAACCGCTCCGTTTCCGCCACCCCCCCCCTCTGCCAATCCCTCCACTGGCCTCCACTCAGTGTCCTCCACCCCCCTCTGCCAATCCCTCCACTGGCCTCCACTCAGTGTCCTCCACTCCTCTCTGCCAATCCCTCCACTGGCCTCCACTCAGTGTCCTCCACCCCCCTCTGCCAATCCCTCCACTGGCCTCCACTCAGTGTCCTCCACTCCTCTCTGCCAATCCCTCCACTGGCCTCCACTCAGTGTCCTCCACCCCCCTCTGCCAATCCCTCCACTGGCCTCCACTCAGTGCCCTCCACCCCTCTCTGCCAATCCCTCCACTGGCCTCCACTCAGTGCCCTCCACCCCTCTCTGCCAATCCCTCCACTGGCCTCCACTCAGTGCCCTCCACCCCCCTCTGCCAATCCCTCCACTGACCTCCACTCAGTGTCCTCCACCCCCCTCTGCCAATCCCTCCACTCAGTGTCCTCCACCCCCCTCTGCCAATCCCTCCACTGGCCTCCACTCAGTGCCCTCCCACCCCTCTCTGCCAATCCCTCCACTGGCCTCCACTCAGTGTCCTCCACCCCTCTCTGCCAATCCCTCCACTGGCCTCCACTCAGTGCCCTCCACCCCTCTCTGCCAATCCCTCCACTGGCCTCCACTCAGTGTCCTCCACCCCCCTCTGCCAATCCCTCCACTGGCTTCCGATTGCGCAATGGATCAAATTCAAAATCCTAACACTGACGTACAAAGCCGTCCACCACACACTGCCCCGAACTACATCACCGACCTGATATCCAAGTACCGCCCAACACGCACACTCACAAGACCTCCTACTCTCTAGTTCCCTGTTCTCCTCCTCCCATGCCCGCCTCCAGGACTTCTCCAGGGTGTCACCCATCCTCTGGAACTCCCTGCCCCAACCCATCAGATTATCACCTACTCTCCTCTCCTTTAGGCGCACCCTGAAAACCCATCTCTTCAGGGAAGCCTACCCCGCCCCCTGCTAACCTGCCGACCTCCTCCACTCTTCCTACCACTCCATCCCCCACAGCTATCTCCTCCTGTGCCACCATTCCCTCCCTCCTAGATTGTAAGCTCGAAAGAGCAGGGCCCTCGATCCCCTCATGTTTTGCATTGTATTGGTATTGTTCTGTCACATGTTCTGTCCCCCTCTGTAATGTACAGCGCTGAGCGAACCATTGGCACTTTATAAATACTGTATAATAATAATAATAATATAATCCCATAAAGGGCCCCTTGTCCTTCGCATGGTAACCCATAGCAACCAAAATTCACTGCTATGAACCCGTATGGAAGGAAAAGTCCTGACTGTATCAATAATGATGGTAACAATGGTGGGAAGCGATATAAGTGATACCAGAGCGTCACAATCCCCATAAAGGGCCAATTTTTCCTCCTCATGGTAGCCCATAGCAATCAGTGGGTTGCTATGGATACCGTGCTTAATCCAGATTCACCGATAAACCCTTTGTTCCCCAGTGAGGTAACCCATAGCAACCAGAATTAATCGCTGTGTCCTCTATGGAGGGAAAAGTCCTGAATACAATTACTGACCATAGCAATAAAGATGGTAACAATATGGCTGCTGTGATGATAATAATGGTGGAAAGTGATATAAATGATACATGCGTGTTATAATTTTATATTATTATTGGTGTTATGAACGAAGTTAGGTCAGTTACCCGTCAGTTACCTGTCAGTTAACCGAAGTTATCGGGGAATAAACAGGCCCATAGCATACATGTACAAACTGCCCTGGTCCATAGGAGGTGAACACGTGTGAGAGCCGAAGTGGTTAAACAGTATAGGTAGTTATGTTTAATGTTTTACATACCTATAACTGCCAGGGGCGGACTGACCATTTGGAAACTCGGGCACTGCCCGAGGGCCCGGGGTCAGTAGGGGGCCCCATGAGATGCCCCTGGTACCTTTTTCATAGGCTTTTTTGAGTTTGGGGAAGGACACAGGGGCCCCATGATCCCCTATTGCCCGGGGGGGCCCCATGAGTTGTCAGTCCGCCCCTGATACCTGCAAAAGGGGCCAGCCTGAAGTCATCCTGAAGTCGCCCCCTGCACGCCACCGAAATCGCCCTACTTAAAATCACCAATGACCTGCTAACCGCCAAAGCCAATGGCCACTATTCTATCCTCCTGCTCCTCGACCTCTCCACGGCCTTCGACACTGTTGACCACCCTCTCCTCCTTACTAAACTGCACTCCCTTGGCATCAGGGACGCTGCTCTCTCCTGGTTCGCCTCCTACCTCTCCCAACACTCCTTCAGCGTCACCTACAACACTGCCACCTCCCCCTCCCTCCCCCTCTCTGTCGGGGTCCCCCAAGGCTCTGTCCTCGGCCCCCCCTCCTCTTCTCCATCTACACCTCCTCCCTTGGCAAACTAATACACTCCCACGGCTTCAATTACCACCTCTATGCCGACGACACCCAAATCTACTCTCTCCACCCCCCACCTCACCCCCTCACTCTCCGCCCGCATCGCCCACCTCCTAAACGACATAACAGACTGGATGTCGCTCCATTTCCTCAAACTTAACCTATCCAAAACCGAGCTCCTGGTCTTCCCCCCACCCCCGTGCCCCCCCCCCCCATCCTCTCCATCACTACTAACAACGCCACCATCTCTCCCACCCCACACGCCTAAGTCCTGGGTGTCACCCTGGACTCCCACCTCTCCTTCCTACCCCACATCCAACTGCTATCTAGATCTTGCAGGCTCCACCTCCGCAACATCTCCAAGATACGTACGTTCCTCACCCCGGACACCACCAAACAACTCGTACACTCCCTCATCATCTCACGCCTGGACTACTGCAACTCCCTCCTCGCCGGCCTACCCAAACGAACGCTATCCCCACTCCAGTCTATCCTGAACTCAGCGGCCAGACTCATCCACCTCACCAACCGCTCCACATCTGCCTCCCCCCTCTGCCAATCCCTTCATTGGCTCCCGATTGCCCAACGCATCAAGTTCAAGTTGCTAACCCTGACCTACAAGGCCATTCACAACGCCGCCCCAAACTACATAACTGACCTGATACCCAAATACTACCCTACCCGTGGCCTCCGCTCCTCACAGGACCTCCTACTCTCTAGCTCCCTGGTCTCCTCCTCCCACGCCCGATTACAGGACTTCCCCCATCATCTGGAACTCCCTACCCCAATCCATCAGACTGTCACCTACCCTCCTCACCTTCAGGCGCACCCTGAAAACCCTCCTCTTCAGGGAAGCCTACCCCAACCTCTCCTAACACCCGACCTCACCTAACCACTAACCTCCTCCACTCCTCCCACCACTCCATCCCCCACAGCCATCTCCTCCTGTACCACCTTCCCCTCCCTCTTAGATTGTAAGCTCCAAGGAACAGGGCCCTCGAACCCCTCGTGTATTGTATTGTTACTGTCTTGTCTCATGTTCTGTCCCCCTCGCTACTGTACAGCGCTGAGCATACCCTTTGGTGCTATATAAATACTGTATTATAATAAATATATTGTATATAATATATAAATAATCCTGCAGGACTTCATTTTCTGGCTAAAGTTCCGCTTTAGGCTTGTTCTGCCCTGTAAGGGGCAACTGCCACCTTGTCATTTACCCAGGTCAAGGCAAACTGGACCGGAGAAGTCAATAGGGAACTTTCTGTATAATATACAGCGGGTATAAAAAAGAATCACCTCCCTATATAATAATCACATTTTGTTGCTTTGAAGCCTGAAATGCCGCCAGACACACCACTACTTGGATATTTGATAAATAATTATACCTCCAGCCTTGTAAATCGAAAGGTTAACACCAGGGGCGGACTGACAACTCATGGGGCCCCCGGGCAATAGGGGATCATGGGGCCCCTGTGTCCTTGCCAATCTCAAAAAAAGCCTATGAAAAAGGTACCAGGGGCATCTCATGGGGCCCCCTACTGACCCCGGGCCCTCGGGCGGTGCCCGAGTTTCCAAATGGTCAGTCCGCCCCTGGTTGTCACCTATGCAGACAGGGATTCTGTAACTAGAACAAGAGGGTTCCCCAATTTTCACACCTCCCATTCTGTTCTTGGACAATAACTTTTGCCTTCCCATGGTGATTGGATCACGGTGTCGGTGCGGCCTGTATAGATAGAAATGTTGGGGTATGTTCCTGGCATTCCTTAGAACTGAAGAAGAGACTCAGAGAAGCAACGTCTTCAACATTACAGAACAAGTCCAGTTGAGTGTGAATACTGTAAACCAGTGGTCTCCAAACAGCGGTCTTGGGACCGGAGGCGGCCCTTGAGGCATTATTCCTGCCACTGACACCAACAATTGGGCACTCTCCCTTCCATTGACACCAACAGTGGGGCACTATTCCTCCAACTGACTCCAACAAAGGGACACTATTCCTTCCACTGACACCAACAATGGGGCACTATTCCTCCCACTGACACCAATGATGGGGCACTATTCCTCAAACTGACTCCAACAATGGGGCACTATTCCTTCCACTGACACCAACAATGGGGCATAATTCCTGCCAGTGATGCCAACGGGGCACTATTCCTCCCACTGACACCAACAATGGGGCACCGTTCCTTCCACTGACACCAACAATGGGGTATCATTTCTGCCACTGATGCCAACAATGGGGCACTATTCTTTACACTGACACCAACAATGGGGCATAATTCCTGCCACTGACACCAACAATGGGGCATAATTCCTTCCACTGACACCAACAATGGGGCACTATTCCTCCCACTGACACACCGACAATGGGGCATAATTCCTTCCACTGACACCAATGATGGGGCACTATTCCTCCCACTGACACCGACAATGGGGCATAATTCCTTCCACTGACACCAATGATGGGGCATAATTCCTTCCACTGATACCAACAATGGGGCACCATTCCTTGCACTGACACCAACAATGGGGCATAATTCCTGCCACTGACACCAACAATGGAGCATAAATCATGCCACTGATGACAACAATGGGGCATCATTCCTTCCACTGACACCAACAATGGAGTACTATTCTTCCTACTGACATTAACAATGGGGCACTATTCCTTCCACTGACACCAACAATGGGACAGAGAAAACAAGTCCAGTTGAATGTGATAACTGCAGACCAGTGGTCTCCAAACTGCGGCCCATGAGGCATTATTCCTGCCACCAGCAATTGGGCACTATCCCTTCCACTGACACAAACAATGGGGCACCATTCCTTCCACTGACACCAACAATGGGGCACTATTCTCCTACTGACACCAACAATGGGGCACTATTCCTCCTACTGACACCAACAATGGGACACTATTCCTCCCACTGACACCAACAATGGGGCACTATTCCTCCCACTGACGCCAATGATGGGGCACTATTCCTCCCACTGACACCAATGATGGGGCACTATTCCTTCCACTGACACCAACAATGGGGCACTATTCCTCCTACTGACACCAACAACGGGGCACTATTCCTCCTACTGACACCAACAATGGGGCACTATTCCTCCTTCTGACACCAACAATGGGGCACTAATCCTTCCACTGACACCAAAAATGGGGCAGAGAAGCAACATCTTC